TCAATAAAATTCAGAACTATTAATTTCAGGAGATTCAAATGTAGATGTATGTTTACTACAGTAGTACGAGTAATATTTGATCGGCATGACGTGATATGTTGCCCTTTAGGAAGCGATCTTTTTCTACGCGCACCCAAGGGGCCTTTCGTGGAAATTACCTGATACTTTCTTAAAGTTCACTGAAATTTCATATTTGTATATTTAGGTGGATTTATCTAACCCGAAATTCAAATTCCAATGGTTCTTATCCACCCGCATTGGGCTATTGATAATGAAAGATTATGTATGGAGTTTTCTTTTCTATTTCAAAAAGGTTTCCTCATTTAGAGAGACCATCACTAGTATTACTTGTCTGGTGGTTCACATTCTTATTAGTTTAAAGATTTGGTTTGGAGGGTTTTCGTCTTCGGGTCATTATTCTCTGAATCTTTTAGACTTTTACCATATCATATCATTACTACTCGAATGTTTTCTTCATCAAATCTCAAGTTGAAGATGGATTAATTTTGTTTTTAAAATGATTTATGGTTAATGTTCTTAAAAAGGTGTGGCTTCTAGTCAATTTTACAATCATATAGTTCCGATGTTAACTAAGCTATAATAAGAATTAAGAAATCATATAAGTTACAACCATTATGGTTCGGTGGATGGTTGCATTAAAAAGTTTATGTCCTGTAAATAAACACAAACATATAATAAGGAATCAGTAATTTGAGAAAAAAGTGTCTTGCTATTTATAATCGTTAGCTGTTACCATTTCAAAGCAATAACAACCCACAGATTAAGTTAAACCACTTATCATATCGTCGTCCATTCGTGTTTGATCAATAATTTGATATTTATAGTTAAAGTTACCAACTTATCAAAGGCCATGTGCACGTAAATGCTACTCCTCGGTCACTTTACTTAATTTAGTTAATCATAAACTATTCGTTTGATCTGGACGCGTTAAATGAAGAAGTAGTCGACGCGTAGAGAATAAACATCCATTGAAAATTGAAAATTTATTCTCTAGTTTAAGTTCAGCAGCAGCCTCTAGCTAGGACACATACTTCCAAAACAAAACAAAAAAACTAGTTTGGGACTCAAAAAGCTACAAACCTGATTGATAACCGAGAAACATAGAATTTAAAGTGACACATGCATATATATCAATATTATCTACTTTTCATAGTGTGCACGATATTATACTGACGCATTCAGTACGATGAACATGCCAAATGTATAAACCCATAAGGCATCATCTTATATATACTAACTGTTTTAAAATAAAATAAAAATTATCACCTGTTTTGAATCCTTTTGTTCAAATCCTATACATTTGGTGAATACATATAAAAGATAGATCATCGTGGTATCGAATTTGACCACATTGATATTATTACGTCGCTGTCAATTGTGAGATAGGGAAAGGTGCATTAGTCTATATCCTCTCACCCACACCTGCATGTTTTGATTTGATCCATAGATTCTCGATCGATTTACTTTTAGGGATACTATAATCTCGATATTTGACCACCCTACCATACTTAATTATATAATCAGCAGCATATATATACAATGGCTAATATATGTAAATCGATTAACGAAGATGTAACAGGATAAGTGAATTAATAGGCATGACATCACAATCCTCACGTCAGCGGAAATAAAAAAGCATTCAACCGGATCTATAACGCGGTAGGAGGACTATGGGGTCACTTTGAAGATGATTGTTTATTGGTTTACTCGGTTGAATTATTATAGCCATAAACAAATTTCATGTGAAATACAATAAGATTAGAATCAGCTAAACTGACTGAGTGAGAGAGACTTTGCCAAATATGGGTTCTACTGTGATTGTGGAGAAATAGTTGACGCTTTATAGATGTGTGTATTTGATAATATGATCAATAGTTGATCTTATCTAGAACATTTATAGATCGAAAATATAAATCTTATTCATAAAATATCAAAATAATAACCACATGAAATTATATAATATTGTGTTTTCTTATAGCAGAAACAAGTAACCATTAGAATTTAGACTAAACTAAAATTTCTTTATTTTGCTCAAGCTTTTCAAGAAATCTAAGAAGAGAAACAGTGACAAATAATAAAAATCGGTGGGAAATAAAAGTAGTAGTCGGAATTTGTCAATTTCTCGACAAGATCCTTCTCTTTTCCACACAACTTCTGGTCCAAGCTTAAAACAAAATAAAAATTAATAAAATAAACTTATTGTATAAGCACAAGGACATGGTACCATCATAGATTCTCATCCATCACTCATGAATATAAATACAAAGAGATGCAAACACACGAAAACTCACATCTCATCCCAACCCTCAAAAGAGACAGAGAATTCTTAAAAAAGATTCTTAAAATTTTGTTGGTGGGTTTTTAGTGAGTGAATGCAGAGATGACCATGGAAGATAAACTAGTGATCAACGAGCTGGAGCAAGGGAGAGAGCTTGCGAAACGATTGATGAGCAATCTCAAACACACTTCTTCAACCGAATCCAGCAAAGCCTTGATAGATGAAATTCTCCGTATTTACCATAACGCCATTTTCATCTTGAGCTTCAAAGACGACGACAAGAACAAGCAAAGCCTTCAGATCATCGATGACAAGGATTCAAAACACGTGTCTAAAAAGAGGTAAAATTTGGAGTTAAAAAGAGTATTGTTAAGTTCCGACTTAGAATCTCATGTGTCTGACTCTGTTTTCTTTCTGTCATTTCCAGGAAAATATCTGAGAAGAAGAACGAGAAAGTTCGGGTTTTTGTTGGAGCAGGACAAGAAAAGGGTCCTAATGATGATGGTCATTGCTGGAGAAAATACGGACAGAAAGAGATTCACGGATCTAAGAATCCAAGGTAATTAATCAATTCTCGTAATCATCTGCTTAATTTAATTTTTGCTTTTTGTTTGATTTGCTAAATTTTGATTGCTCTGTTTTCTGTTATTACAGAGGATACTACAGATGCACGCATCGATTCACGAAGAACTGTTTAGCAGTGAAGCAAGTCCAGAAATCAGACACAGATCCTTCGATTTTCGAAGTGAAGTATCTCGGAAACCATTCTTGCAACAACAACACATCGTCCACGAACAAGACGAACTTCTCTGTTACGATGTTCGAAGAAGGAAACAGAGCATTATATGAAACAGAGAAGCCAGCAGATGTTGTTAAGCCGGAGAAAACCGAAGAAACGAGGGTAAGTCTTGAGGATCTGGAGAGCAAGAAGAACATTTTCAGGACGTTTTCTTTCGCTAACCATGAGATTGAGAATGGTGGTGGTGTTGGTGGTGATGGCTGGAGAAGTAACATTTTCCCGGAAAATCTGGTGGAGAAACTGTCTCCTTCAACGTCAGGGTCTGGAATTACGACCGAGATTGCGACTGCTCCTGCTTCCGTTGAGATTTCGGAAACTGCAGATTCGTATTTCTCGTGTTTGGACAATATTATCGATTTTGGACAGGATTGGTTGTGGTCGTAGCTCTTTTTTTTACTTGTGAATGTAATTTCTCGTTGCAGTAAGTAATTATTATAGTCTATAGATGGTGAGTTTAATTTCAGGTTAGATAAACTATTTTTGCCGATCAATAATAAGATTGGCTTTTAGGATATGATTTTTTGCCCTTTTTTGTTCAGTAAAGTTAGTCAATTCCCTATGAAGTTGGATGATACTTGATGACAATCAATAAAGGAAAGATTTTATAAGGTTTTGTTATTTTTAAAATTAAATGGAACGTTCTTGGAAGTTGGAAGGAATGGTGGTAGGGATATGGTTAAACTGATAGCATGACATTTGTTGGAAAAACTTGAATGATTAAAGTGTGAAAATGCTTTATAAACTAATGCAATTATTCGGATACATCTAAACAGTAGAATGTTCATTTCTTACATTTTCCAAATGAAATCGAAAAACAAAAACAAAGGGAACTCCAGATAGTAAAAAAATGTAATGTAAATTTAATTTAGCAGAATTTAAGCTGAGGTTTCAAATCAATCTTTCTCGTTTATAATTTTTGCTAAGAAGGAATCGATGGGTCTAATGGGCCTAAAGCCCAATACCAAATTATCAGCCTAATCTCGAACAGAAACTTTAGTCGATTGCATCGAAAGAATCCTGCAGATACTCGAAGAAGACCACAGCGAAATTTCTGTAGAGGAAGAAGAAGAAGAGGAAGAGGGAAGAAGATGATATACCGAAAGTGGAGTCTGCTTTCCGGTCCACCGGTAATCCTCGGCGGAGCCGTAGTTGCCGCAGTTGCCGTCGGCTTCTTGATACAGAACGTAATTTCCTTCTTCATCTCCTGTTTTGAATCATTTTTAATTTTAATCAACCCTAGATCGTTAGATCCATCTCTTGATTGGATCGTCTTTACCTCCTTCCATTTGCTACTTCGCTATTTCCATTTGTTTCGATTCTCATTTGATCTTACTTGGATCGCAAATCCTATTGACGAATCAGTAATTGGCCATTTCGAACCTTAAAGCGTGAAAGGAACGTCCTTTAATTGAAATTTCTGTGTTCTTCGTATGCTCAATTTTACAGATTAGAATTGGCTTCATTCGCTATAAATGTTTTGATCCGTATTTCAGATATTCATCAACGTTGTATTGCTGATCCAAAGATTTAATTTGGAGTGGACATTTTTGTTTATGTCTCACATGATCAGGTTACGAAAGGGGAGACGAAGAAGAATGACTCACCAAACAAGTGAAAAGGCAAATTGGGAAGATGCTACGAAATGCTGTGCGAGTCATGTGTTAAGCTCAATAATGCTTTTGTAAGCTTTCAAATATACAACAGATCCTTTTTGTGTTTTAGTTTCTTGTTTGCGAATAAATGAGATTTCATTTTTTTTGCACATTTTCGTTCCTTCTTTACATTGATCAGAAGGCTCTCTAGAGTCTAGAGTAAGAACAAAGCTTTAACTTAGAGAATGTTAGGATAATCTAAAACGGATGTTCAGAGAATATAGGCTCATGAACATTTCTTGAGATTTCTTCATGCACTTCTCCTTGGAACTCTCATCCCAAACCCACGCTTCAGCTTATCGACCCTGACCATGTAGTAGCATCAAACTCAGTTACATGAATGAACTCGAAAGGTAAGGCAAAATAGATAGATGTTTAGGCTTTGTGAAAAAAGCTTACGTTGGGGCGAGTTTGCCAAGACTAGCTAGCTCTTCACCGGTGTCTTCGTCTATGACTCTACCTGAGATGTAAACCGTGTAGGACCGTTCTCTCTCCCTCGGGAGACCTCTTGCATTGAGCAATCTCAGGTCTTTCTGGTGAAGCTCTCTTCCGTTCACATAGACTCTTGTGGTTCCGCCAGCGCAATCCTCTGGCATTGGGTAATTCAGCTCTTCAATGAAAGGCTGTAAGAGAGAAATCACCAGCTTTTAGTACACATTCATAAGAAAATGAAGAATATGTCTCAGTGACTGATCTTTACCGGTAAGATTCCAAGACATTGACCTCCCATTACTCCCCAGAATCCAGCTCTATAGTCGTACCTGGTAACAAGGAAAAGAACAGAAGTGAGCCATTAGGGCTAAGTTAATGAAAAGAAGGATTTAAGAGATTGAAGAAGCCTCGCGTACCAGTAGCTTCCTGGCCGGATTGGTCCAGCTTGCTTCTCTGCCATTTTCACCAGACGTTCAGCTACAGATTGCCCATTTACCGAAACATCACTACTTCTGCTTTCATTCTTGATTGATTTCTTTAGATCCTTGAAGCTGTTCTTCACGATACTCGCAAACCCGCCCTTCTTGTTTCTTCCCTGG